AGGCAATCCACTCAGCCTCCCAAAGGCGCGGGATTACAGGCTGAGCCACCGAGCCCGGCTCTAACTCTCACTTTTAAAGAATTATTTAAGCTCATTATTTGCTAAGAACAAAGCTCTATTTGTATTAACTCATTTAATCTGCACAAAAATGCCCAAGGACAGGTATCCTTATCATCCCTACATATAAATAAGGAAGTTGAGGAACAGAGTAGCTAAATATATTCCAAGTTCAGACAGCTGGTGAGTCGCTGAGCTAGGGTTCAAACCAAACTGGACCTAGCTCCAGAGTCGAAGTTCTTAACTTACTGTGCTTTGCTTTAATTGGTATTCAATATTTTCAATCATTATCTGCCCCAACTTACAAGAACTTACACCTGAATCAGGAGCTGGGTAAAACACAGGAAAAAAGCAAACCCTGAATAGACTGGAATACTTCACTGACATTAAGCAGAATCAACACTGCATTCAAAGGTCAGTGATCTGGATAACATTTGTCAAGCGATCTGATAACTCTGGGAAACCAATGGAGAGGAAGAGAGAAGATACAGAACCAAGTAAATGGTGTTTCTTAAAGAAATAGTGCTCTGAACCAATAATCCCACATAATAGAAAATCTCAGATTCCTGAGTTCTTAAGTAGAAAGATTTAAAAGAATCATATAAAGCCGGGTTCGGTGGCTCAGTCTGTAATCCCGCGCTTTGGGAGGCTGAGGTGAGTAGATTGCCTGAGCCCATGGGTTCGAGACCCGCCTGGGCAGCGAGACCTCATCTCTACAATAAATCAAAAACTCAGCCGGGCGTGGTAGCGCATGCCTGTAATTCCGGCTACTGGGAAGGCTGAGGCGGAAGGATCGCCGGAGCCCAGCAGGTCGAGGCTGCGGTGGCCGGGAGCGGTCACTGCACTCCAGTCTGGGTGACAGAGTGAGACTCTGACTCAAAAAAAAAAAGAATTATGTACACATGTTCAGAGAAAACATATTTAAAAAATTCCTCAAACATCATCTAGGTAGAAAAATAGGTAGCCTTAGTCCTCATTTCTGTCAAGTATCAGAAAACAAGGGACCGACATCTACATACATACAAAGACTGACGATTAAGTTCCCGAACTCGCTGTGTGCTTACATTGGCAGCACTCTACAAACAACTCGGCAAGGTTTCATAACCTTGGTGTATCAGTGTCTCACAGCTGTGTTCATGTTGACATGAACACACGTGTCTTGCTGAGAGATATTCATTATTATTGTGTGTTTTTGTGTGCCATTGTGAGAATGTCCGAGCTTGAATTAAAGCAATGAACAAGCCGGGCTCGGTGGCTCAGCCTGTAATCCCAGCACTTTGGGAGGCTGAGGTGAGTGGATTGCCTGAGCCTGTGGGTACGAGACCCGCCTGGGCAGCAAGACCTCATCTCTACAATAAATTAAAAAAAAAATCAGCCGGGCATGGTTGCGCATGACTATAATTCTGGCTACTCGGAAGGCTGAGGCGGAAGGATCGCCGGAGCCCAGCAGGTCGAGGCTGTGGTGGCCGGGAGCGGCCACTGCACTCCAGTCTGGGTGACAGAGTGAGACTCCAACTCAGAAAAATAAATAAATAAAAAAATAAAGCAATGAACAAACGATAAATTTCTTATTAAACATGGCAAGAGTAGAAGTAAAATCAGGGACATGTTAGTCCAAGTTTATGGGGATAACGCCATGAAGAAAATGGCAGCGTACAAATGGATTAAACATTTCTCTGAGGGAAGAGAAGGCATCACTGATGAAGGGATGTCAGGACAGCCAGTAATGAGCAGAATTGATAAGAACATTGCAAAAACCTCTTGAATTGTGTGTCAAAATCGTCAGCTCCTGGGCGCAGTAGCTCATGCCTGTAATCCCAGCACTTTGCGCGGTAGATGCAAGAGGATTGCCTGAGCCCAGGGGTTTGAGGCCAGTCTGGGCGACTTGATGAGACCTTGTCTCTACAATAAATAAAAAAATTAGCCGGGCATGGTGCCGCACACCTGTAGTTCCAGCTACTTGGAAGGCTGAGGTGGAAGGATCGCAGGAGCCCAGCAGGTCGAGGCTGTGGTGGCCGTAAGCGTGCCACTGCACTCCAGCCTGGGCAACAGAATGACACCCTGACTCGAAAAAAAAAAAAGAAAAAATCAACTGACTGTGAGAAGCATAGCAGACCAAATAAGCATTTTTAGAGAAACAAGAAAATCTTAACTGAACATCTTGGCATGAGAAAGCTGAGTGCAAAAATGGTCCTGAAGGAGCGCCTGCATCACAACACTGCACCAGCTCACACAACACTGTCTGTGAGGGAGTTTTTAGCCAGCAAACAACTCTCTCTACTCACCCAATCTGGCCCCCAATGACTTTTTCTTTATCTAAAGCTAAAGGAAATAATTGAAAGTAAGACATTTTAATGACTTTCAGGACACTAAGGTTAATACAACAGCTCTGACGGCCATTCCAGGAAAAAAGTTCCAAAATTGCTTTGACGGATGAACAAGGCATCAGTGCATAGCTTCCCGAAGAGATACTTCGAAGGTGACCATAGTGTTATTTAGCAGTGAGGGGTGTAGCACTTTTTCTTGGATGAGTTCTCAAAGTTAACCGTCAGACCTCATATGTGTATTTGCATAATACATAGTTCTTTAGCCATGTAAGAGCTTAGAAAAGAGAGGTTTTTTTTTTGTTGAGTTGGAGTCTTACTGTCACCCAGACTAGAGTACTGTGGACACTCCTGGCTACCGCAGCCTCGCCCTGCTGGGCTCCGGTGATCCTTCCGCCTCAGCCTTCCGGGGAGCTGGAACTACAGGTGCATGCTACCACACCTGGCTGATTTTTTTGATTTTATTATAGAGATGAGGTCTTGCCAAACTGCCCAGGCGGGTCTCGAACCTGCAGGCTCAGGCCATCCACTCACCTCAACCTCCCAAAGTGCTGGGATTACAGGCTGAGCCACCGAGCCCGGGAAAAGAGAGTATTCTAATGTTTACTCTTCAAATGACAAAGGTTTAGACCAGCCTGTGGCAAGAAGAATGAAGAATTCAGGCACGTGAAAGTTAATTTTTCAAATGACTAAGGACTGGTTAGGGAAGATGGCAAGACATGGGAAGCATTCACATCTGACACGTAAAGGCAAATGCCAGTAGAACTTGCCAGTAGAACAAGTTCTGCATCTTAGATCACTATAGAAGATAAAAGCTGAAAATTCCAATTATAAAGTAAAAAGTGAGGGCTGGCAAATATATATTATTAGAAGTCAATGCAGAAGGTGCTAAAGCAGGGGAAAATAAAGTAGGGGATTTTTGTATGTAGAGAAGATTATTCAAAAATGAAATTATGACGGCTTAGGACCATGCACTGAGCAATAATACCAAATCAAAGCAAAAACTATGGTCAGGATAATTATGAGAAACTGAAGATTTATGCAAACAAGTGTTAAAAGCAAAGTTAGACAGGATTCAAATAGTAAAAGATTGAATAATCATCAACTTTTGTGCTTTATGAGCAATAACTATTTCTAAGCACCCATGCAACATTTATAAAAACTCTTGACATATCTTGACCAGAATAAAAATAATTTTAGGCAAAAAAAGAGCTTGATGACACTTATGCTAAGTAGCTGTTAAAGATTTTTTTTAAAAATCAAGAAAACAAAAGTACTTACCCCATCTTCCAAATTTTAATGTTGAAAGTTGAAATCAGAAGTAAATTCAGTCTTAGATGATTATGTGGCTTATGAAGGAAAAAGCCAGACAACTCTATCTTTAATTTAAGAAATTAAACAGCCGAGCTCGGTGGCTCAGCCTGTAATCCCGCACCTTGGGAGGCTGAGG